TCCTTTCAAAATACTTCCAAATCACAAACTTTGATAGTTCACCTAATTTTTCAAACTACACCAGACACATGCATGTCAACATATATAACTGATTTAGCACAGAGAACTCAGTAATACTGACAAAAGTTAGTTTTATCATTGGGTCTTTTAGAAGCTACTAATTTGAAGGAACAGCATACCTGGTTACCTGGAAACTTATACAAAATGAAGGGAAACACTCTTTATTTGCAATGTAGACACTATGTTAAAATATGAAATCTTTCTAGCTGACTGAAAAAATGAGGCATCCCCAAACTTATATACATCCATAACCCTCATTCCCAAACATGCAAGAGACAACAGCATTTCTTCAGAAGATGCTCAGCTACAAATCAGTATCTATGATTGCAGAGAAATGGCCGGTGAGACGATAAAGACAGGAATTCTGACTGATCCCAGCAGTTACAGCTCCAAGACACCACACCTGGCAAGAGAATGGCCCTAAGGATGATCCAGTTGTCTCAGAAATATTTCAATGGTTTATAAAATAAATCAGACCGAGGCCTGGTGTTAAAACCACAGGTACTTATAATTTTGATATGATTTAGCCTTAGTTTTAGAAATCATTGTTTCCCTCTGCACATTTCACAGGCCTTAGTCTTTCCTCTTGAAAATCACTAACCCCTGAGACAAAACTGACCAAAGTTAGTTTTATGGTTCCAACGTCTGAGCCTCTGCCAGCTCCTGAGCCCTAAGGTGAAAGGACCCCCTCAGCTACCTCTCCACCAAACCAGACAGAGGGGCACGGAAGCTGATCCCAGAGCTGTCCTCAAGACCTGAAGAAATTGTGTACTACCCTTACCTCACCTTCCACCAATCGGCTCCTAACATGTGCCCTGACCCCCAACCCACGGTGCCCTGTGAGCTTGCCCTACATAACCTGTTAGTTACTGGCCATCCGGGAGCCGGGTCTTTTAGAGCACAAGCTCACCTAACTCCAGATTACTGTGCTCAACTACTTCAATACATGCTCCCGATCCTAATGAAGTCCTTCCTCCACTGTAAACTTGCTCAGGCATCATCTTTTGACCAATGTACGCAGGCAAATGGACTCACACACTGGGTTCTGGTAACAGGACCTAAACAAAACTTTCAAGTTTATTCCTGAGAAATTTTTTCTAAATTATTTTCCTTCCACCTACAAAAAAAAAAGAAAAGGTTTTTAAAATATATCTCAGTTAACTCATTTGACAATCTTGAGTACTGCATGCTTTTCCAGCCCCCAGGGAGATGGTAAACCACACTGCAGTGGCAAGAAGTCGTGGTGATAAACATGATCTCTTCACCATGATTACCAGCCCTGCCAACACAGGCTCGCATGGGCACACTCTCCAAAGATTTCTCTGCCCTCTCAAACATGGGCATGTCGGGATTCTGTAGCAATTCTCTTTGAAAATATTAACTGAGTCAGCCTGACCATTTCATTACATCCCATCTCTCCGTCAACCACCTCCTCGAAGAATAAGACTGGGGCTCCTTCTGACACTTTTTAAAGAATACACTTGCTATTTCTGAAACATAAAACTTTCGTTTAGATTGTAATTTAAAAATAACTTCAGCCCTAACCAGTTTGGCTCAGTGGATAGAGCATCAGCCTGCGGACTCAAGGGTCCCAGATTCGATTCTGGTCAAGGGCATGTACCTTGGTTGCGGGCACATCCCCAGTGGGGAGTGTGCAGGAGGCAGCTGATCGATGTTTCTCTCCCATCGATGTTTTTAACTCTCTATCCCTCTCCCTTCCTCTCTATAAAAAAAATCAATAAAATATAATTTTTTTTAAAAAATAACTTCAAAAGTCAACTTACATTGCTTAATCCCTATTGATTTTCTTTTCATTTGAAACTATGAAAAGGATTGCACAAAAGTGTGTCAACATGTAAAAGAAGCTTTAGGAAGGATTTTAGATATTTGATATTATTCATACATTTAGGAAACTAAAGGATAAAACCAACAACCGTAACAACACAACCAGAGACCACCCTGAGGGTTTTAAATATGAAACACACACAAAACATAGCTACGCCATATAGATGGAGTAAGGGAGCTGCCTTACTCTAAGCTGCCTGGTGAGGCTGCCAAGGTGACTGTGCTTCCAATGTCTGGGCCGCCCTTTGCTCTCCTCCTATTATTACTATTAAGACCTACCTAATGATGATGATAACAAAAGTACGACAGAAAACAACTAAGATCACCACATTATTTGGCAACGCCAACATTTTAGAGGCAAGAAGTTAGAGTATTTGACTTAAATACGATGGACAAAAAAAGGGGGCACATACTCAACCTAATAAGCTCAGGGAAGGCCTGCATGCAGGGCTTACAAACTGAGACCAAAAAGTAACCACACAGGATGGTCCGAACATAAAAATTCCTGAATAAAAGCTAGTCACTACAGTAATAATGTCCGAGGCCTGTAGCTTCCTTGACAAAGGTCAGTCTTTACCTTAAGTGAGCCTATTGTCTTTTTTGCATCTTTGAAATGTCAGAGTAATCCCTTTTTTCCAGACCCATCAGGGGCACCCACAACACCAGAGCAGAGAGGATAGAACCCCTCATTGTTATCTTGTTGCCCACATACCACCTCTATGTTATGTTAACTACTCTGTACCCACCAATGTGTGTGCCTCTTGAGTTACTCTTTATTCATCTCAGATATTTCCCCACTTTGCATCCCCCCACCTCCCTAATCTACCACCAATGAATTTCATCTACCTCCCCCCATCACCATTACCTGCCTCCTTTGATTCTAATATCCTATATAATAAAAGCCTAATATGCTAAGTGTCTGGTTGTCCGGTCAGCCGTTCAACCAATCAAAGTGTAATATGCTGATGATATGCTAAGGCCGCTCAACCACTCGCTATGATGTGCACTGACCACCAGGGGGCAGATGCTCTGGTCGTTTAGCTTGCTGCTGGGGTCCGGCCAATCAGGACTGAGCAAGTCCGGATGGACATGCCCTGGAGCCTTCCTACAGTCCCTCCCTGGCTGGCCAACCTCCCGCGTCTCTCCCCACCCCAATTGTCCACCAGTGGGGTCCCTTGGCCTGGCCTGCACCCTCTCGCAATCCAGGACCCCTCGGGGGATGTCAGAGAGCTGGTTTTGGCCCCATCACGCAGGCCAGGCCGAGGGACCCCACCGGTGCACAAATTTGTGCACCAGGCCTATAGTATAAAATAAGCTATAAAACTGCCATTCTTCAAGGCATTTTCTCAATCCCTTGAGATTTTGCTTCCTGGCAATCGTTTTCAGATTGGCTCAAATAAGACTTTTTCTTAGGCTGGATGTTCTTGTCAACAATACTTGCTACAACAAAGAGGTAAAATCATTTTAAAAAGAAAAAAATCCTTTTACAAAGCAACATTCTAATTCCATATGCATTATGCAATAGTCTTTTCCTAATTAAAGGAAATGGAACAAAATTTTCAAGATAACCCAACTGACCAGGCATAACATGTGAAACCAAAATTTCCTCACAATTTTTCCCTATTATAAGATTAAATACATCAAATGTAGTATTATTCTCCCAAAGGAAGGACTTACTCAATATTTCTTCACATTCAGGTCCCCATTCAAACACCCACACCATAAAATGGTAACAGCTCTATTAGGCACAGGGACACATCTGAATGACTGTTATTCTGTTTGCAAACCACCTCCCTTCATTCCATCCCTCTTTCCTTACATATGTAAATTATGGTGTCTGATGGAGCCTGCCAACAGCCACCACAACCAAATTATCCTCTAGGGACCTCAATCGGGCTTGTTATTCTTGTTTCAGCAGGAAAAAGGGAGGAGAGGAAGAAGCAGCTATTTTCAGGAATTATAATTCCTCTTGATTAGATTTCTGGCTCACAGCTAAATGTTTATACCCTGAAATGCATTACCCACTGCTTCTAAAATTTTGGCTTTTATTGAGAGCCAAGATATGGCACCTACAATGTTTCTAGTATAAATTGCTTCAAGTAATATATGTCTAGTTTTGCCGGGAGCATTTGGTCAAATTCTAATATGCCCTCTAGGGAGCCAACACCAACTTCCAGCAGCAGGTCTAAGTGTGCAAAATAGAATTTTAAACAACACAGAGCCCTATCTTCCAGAGGACACGGTCCTTTTCTCTCCTACTCTGAGGGTTGTCACATGATTCACTTTGTATACTTATCACTCAGAATATAGATCTTTCTAATAAGGCAATCAACTAATCACAAAATACATTCCTCCTCCCCTTCCCCCCCAGCATTAAAAAAACACTGGTTTCTACCAGGGTTGAGCTGAAGATGAATGTCATAGCTTACGCTTGTGAATCATTGCCCGAACAATAAGAATAAGTAGCACGTGTACATTTCCATAGGCTGCAAACGTCAGCTGAGAAGCATGTCAAAGGCTTCCTAACCTGCCAGACAGGACTATCCGGAGGTGGAAAGTGTGCAGTTGTCTTCGTTTTTCTTGACTGTAATCAATGTTTTTGTTTCTGTGGCCACTGAAAGCTTAAAAGAGGACCCTCTCGTTTTTCTTTCATAAAAATATGTGCCCATGATTTTATCCCAAACCTTACACAGATATAACTAGGGAGAAAGGAGAGGATGTACTGCAATTTGCACTCATCGGATTGCATTAGTTCAAAATATGAATCTCAAGGATACACACTTGTCACATCAGCCCAAGCTGCAGGCAGCCACCCGGAGAATACTAGTTCCCTGTCCGGCTGGCTGCTGGAATCGATTTCTACAAACCTACAACAGAAGAGAGCAAGCCTCCATTTCTTCTTCTTCACCACGTCTTTCCTCCTCAGAGGAGAGAGGCCATTTTTCTAATTTATAAGCACCCTGACTGTCCAATCATCCCCCCAAAATTTCCTCATCAATAATAGTCAACTAAAAGCAAAAGCACACCCACGGGAGTCAGAGAATGAAACAGGCAGCCCGGGCACATCACTGATGGGCAAGGCTCCCGCTACTCACTGAAGGCAGCCACGGCCAGGGCCAATGTCACGACAATGGAGAACCAGGAGACCCACAAGGCCTTCTTCCTGTAGTTCTGGGCTTCGTGAGGTTTCAGTCGGGTGCTGCTTTCTAGTAAGCCTGACAGAAAGAAGGCGAAACGGAAGTTAGGCGTTTCCTTATTAAGAAACCCACAGCCAGGGCTACACTTTCTTATACACTACCTTGTCTTGGTTGCAAAGAAAACCAAATTCTTAGTCAAGCATTCAACATAAAAGGAGCTATGACACCATCTCTGGCTAGACAGCTGCTCACACAGCTCTCACAGGCAGGGCAGCCTCCTCACCAAGCTCCAAACTGATGGCCCTGGGGCCACAATGTGGTTCTACAATTAGGAGAGTTCGCCTGGATGTCGGACTTTCCGGCACCCCTTGAGAAGGCCAGAGGCTCTGGCAATGCCCGGCCTGCGTTGCTGCAGAGTAACAGCAGCTGTGTTCTTTACCGGGGCCCTGCAGACCCCACCACGCTCTAACCTGCTGATGAACCAGCCATCCCCCAGCCCCTGGGTTAACTAGCTTGGCTACACAGGTGCTGCTCCCTCTAACAGCTCCCTTTCGGTAGGAAAACAACACCAATAGCCCACATTTAGTTAGCCATTCAGGCTCCTCAGCTGTGGGCATTGATTTGCATTGATCCACCTGCACAGCCCCAACTGGTGCGCTGGGTTTTGCCCAAAGCAGTAAGTCATGGGATACAAATGCTCACGTTGCTCCCTCAATGACGATTCACAGGAGAAGGGCCATGTCTCTTTAACAGCCACCACCCAGAGCCGCCAGACCTAAATTCTATGCCATTTTTCTTCTCTCCTCTTTCTGCTTTATAGTATCTATCCCTTTGTACCAACCATATGTCGAAAAATTCTTAGAATATTAAAGTGCAGTAAATCTGCTATAGCTGGAGGTAGCTTTACAGATAGGTCATGTGTAAGAAAAGTTTGCTTTTTGTCTCCTAGGCTATCAACATTGACAGTCCTTGACAACAGAAAGTCGTGGCTCCCAGGCAATGCCCAAGCATCAACTGCCTTGGGTGGGAGACTGAAACACCTTCAGTATGATCCCAATTTACAGTTTTTCTTCTCCTTTGAAAACAGATCATATATGGCACATCTTGTTTACAAAGAAAACCAAATTCTCAGTCAAGCATTTGACATAAAAGGAGCTTATGACACCATCTCTGACTAGACAGCTGCTCACATAGCTCTCACAGGCAGGGAAGCCTAGTCACCAAGCTCTAAAAGATTAAGAAATTGATAGTCAAAGCTTAGGCACTGTTTGTAAACTAGTGCACAGTGTGCGACATGTCACACGTATGCATCCTGTGACATCATCTTACTAGACTTAGTGAGTGGATACCACACTAAGCCTCTAGTTGTCAAAAAATAACACAAAAAACTCTGTCCTGTTAAAAATTATAGCAAAGACCCTGTTAAAATGTCTCAGTTTCATTTATTTCCAAGACTCAAGCACCCTGAACAAGTTCTGAACAAAACAAAAGGAAATATCGAGAGGTTGCTCAGTGAGCCCAGTTTATAGCTCAGAGATTTTGAAATAATTGAAACCTGTAGACTTACATCAGATCAAAAGATAAATGAGATTGCTAAAGGTAGGTTTAAACGCAAACTCCATCATCTCACAGTAAGTACCTCCCCAAACCTTCCTTAACAAATGAATGAACTTGGATGGAAAACAGAAAAACCTCTTATGAAATTCTACCCTAGGAACAAGGGATTTCAAAGGAAAATCCCTTTGTCTACTTCTTTCTGTCCCTTTGTCTGCATCCTCTCCAGCTGCCGAAAACACCCCATTCTCATCTTCAAATATAATCACCCTTTGTCCAGTTAAAGCCACAACCTAGAAAGAGCATGCCCCACACACTCCCAATAATTTATTTCCCTTTTCCCAAATGATATAAAAATCTTCCTTTCATCTTGGAAAATTGATTTTCAGAAGGGAAGCTGTAATATTTAAGTAATTACTCAAACAAGCAGTTAATTTGCTGGGTATTTTGACAGCAACCATCTCAAGAGGTTTATCTACTGGGGGTAAAAGCAAGTAGATTTAATGTTCCAAGAGAAACACAATGATCGGCATTTTCTATCCTGCCACATGGCATTTTTTCTTCCAAAGTCAGCAGTTCCCAACAATATGATTGACCATGTAGACCAATCTACATGCCGCACCCCTCAGGGGGCCAGCACGGCCGTGAAGGGGTTTGGGATCACAGCCCACATAGGCTAGACTGCCCTGCTAAGGGGAGGCACATCCTCTTAACAGTAGGACGGTGGTTCTTCCCCTGATCTGATCCTGTGTGTAACTCCCCCATGAGATTTTTTAAATTAAAAAACTTCAGTAAGCCCTAACCGGTTTGGCTCAGTGGATAGAGCGTTGGCCTGCGAACTGAAGGGTCCCAGGTTCGATTCTGGTCAAGGGCATGTACCTTGGTTGCGGGCACATCCCCAATAGAGGCTGTGCAGGAGGCAGCTGATCGATGTTTCTCTCTATCCCTCTCCCTTCCTCTCTGTAAATAATCAATAAAATATATTTTAATAAATAAACTAAATAAATAACTGCAGTAAATGCACTGGGAAGACTGTCCGTGAAGGGAGGAACTTCCCCATTTCTATCCAACCTTGGTTATTTCCTACTAGTTTTCCTCTCTAAAAACATAGCCAATACCAAGAATGGAAAACTTTCTACTCCTCAAAGGGACAAGGAGTTTAATTACCTACAAAGACCCAGCTCATAAATGGCCTGCACACAGGTGCCTCTGTTTCTGCTCCCATGTTGGCTGCATGTACACTTGAAAGCCACGGAGGTGTCATGAGAATTTCTGTTTCCAGGAAGCTGTGCTTCCAAAGTAGGAAAAAAGGCAGCACAGCCTAGAGAAGCCAAGGCAGGCCTCAGGTGGTTGGCCTCCGCATTCAGATTTCTAATCTCGCTCCAATTTCACATATTTGCAATCTGGGCCAGGCAATAGTAAGCATAAGGTTGTATTAATAAAGGACTGTATTATTATTTAAGCGGGAGAGGGGAATACAAATGTATGTGGGGAGGTTGAACCTATCAGTACTTCCATGCTCGTATGAATTAGTTCCAATTGCTTTCTCCTAAAGAGTTAGTCATCCCTGGATTCTCTAAAGGGGAAATTCATTGGCTGGGAAGGTAGTGGGAAATGCTGAAGCAAGGCTGGGCCCTAAGGCTTGGAGCAGAACCATGGGAAGACACTTGTGGAGAGAAGAGTGGATATTAAAAGGGAGAGAGTGAAAACACCTAAGACAAATGTGGCCTATATTTTGTGTATTTAGTCCCTAAAGGTCTCAGACCACAGAGCTCTTGCTCCCTGAACTACAAGACTCAGCCAAATGGCACTGCAGTTACTGACACTGTGAGCTAGCTAGGTTTCTGGAACCAGCCCACATCACTAGGGAAAAATGCCTCCAAATTCCCAAAACACTAGATTATAAAGCAAGCCTTTGATCTGAGTTAGAAGCAGTCTGCAACAGGGTCCTGATAGCTCAGAAGAAAGCTTGGACAAGAGAGAAAGCCAAACATGGGTACACATCCAGGGTACCCAACCCGCACATGCCTTACTTGGGCCTGGAGGCACGCAAGCCAGGCATGATGGAGAGATGCACAGCAGGCAATTGCTAAGGCTCCTTTCTCCCCAAATCCTCTCACCATCAGGAAGAAGGCAGCAACAACCATTCCCAAGGGATGCAAAAATCAATATTGGAAAGATGGGGCCCCATAAGGAAAAAATAACACAAACACAAAATATTATAAACCTGCTCAGGTAACCTTCTGATTTATTTAATAAAGATGACTCATTCATCCTTAACTCTTTGCTGTCAGGAATAGGTTAAACAAAAGAATGTCACACTATCAGCTTTCAATGCCAGGAAGCACTGGGTCTTTGGGAGACAGGGTTCGTCCTAACAGAGAGTCTGTGTGTGGTATGCAAAGCTTTCACAAAGTAACAGTTTATGAACAGTGAATGCTTTCACGCTATAACATAATGAAAAATGAAATTCAGGAGACCAGTGGAAAATAACCTTAAGAACAAATTCAGATTGGCTTTTTACATTTGAGCGTGAACTACAAAATGATGCTAAGTATCAACTCACCCTAGCACTTTCTGCCCTCCCATCATTTTATGGGGTGGGGAGAACTAGGCCAGACAGTTCCTGCAGATGACCTGCAATGCTACAGAAATAAACCCAGCTCAGACTTGTCTTTCTTCACTGCCAAATTTGTAAATACTACCAGGTTCGTTGCAGAGGGAAAGGTAATCAACACCACCTATAACAAAACTGACAGGTCCTGTTGGGTGCTCCGTGCCATCATCAACTCTAAAATAACAGCCAGTCGTGTGAGAATCCCACCAGAAACTGCCACACGGGTGCCGAGCTCCGTGCAACCGGAGCGGCTCCCTTTCTCGCCGCGCTCCCGGCCTGTTCAGCCTGTGCTCAGGGAACTACCGTTTCCATGTCATTCTATTTCCCCGGCTTATGGTTTAACATTTCTAACAGGGAAGAGATCGTGCATCTGCACACTAAACCGGAATAAAAATGTACAGGAGATACTAAGAATAGGACAGAAACCTGCTAAGACTAAAATATAAAAACCCGCCACAGCCAACAAAAACCAGGCGTCCAAGAAAACGGGTGGAAGTGGGGAGGAGCTGGCTCCCCGGGAAGGGCCTGGCGGCAGGAATCCCGCTTAGGCCACTGGCCGGTTTTCACAGAACCACAGGATCCATTTGAGCGGGTCGATTTGGACTTGGATTCGGTGACAAGCAGAAAAAATACAGACGTAGCCAAGAACAGGGCTTCGAGCGGAAAGAAACGAGGGAGGGAGAGGAAGAGGGATGGAGGAGAGAGACGCGGGAATGCACAGGGAAGTCTCCCCCGTTTCATGCGGGCAACTCCAAGAGGCTTCGGCTGTCCGTGGGGAGGTGGGGTTTGCCCTCCCGGGAAAGGGGCCTTTGGGGGGTCCGGGGCCGGTGCCTTGGGAGCGATTCTGAAGGAGGTGGGCACGGCGTTCTGGGAACCACCAGGTTTCGGTGCATTCATTCATCCAGGTGAGGTCGGTAGCCCAAACCCAGGTGTCACAGCCTCTGCCCTCACCACCGGACTCCCCACGGTAAACGGGGTCCCCGGTAAATGAAGGTCGGGGCCTCCCGACTTCCCTTGGCCGGGGCGGGCGGCCCAGCGGCCGCTAAGGGACTCTCCAGGCTCACCCCGCAGAGGGAAGTCATCCCGGAGCCCGCGAAGTCGGAGGGGCTGGGGCGGAGGACGCACCGGGCGCAGGTGCCTCCCAGCGGAGAGGGGGCTGCCGTCCCCAGGGGCGCTCAGCTCCAAAAGCAAAAAACCGCCTCCCGCAAACTTTTCCGGCGGGCGCCGCGGGGCAGGGTCAGGGGCTGAGGCTGGCCGAGAGGAGGGCGCGGGCTCCTGCGGGTTTCCCCTGGAGACAGTGGGTCCTCGGGTTCCGAGGCGGCACCGCCCGGGGAGGTGGGGGCTGCTGTTCTCTGCTCCCCGCTCCTTCGCTGGGAGGTCCCTGCTCCGCGCCCAACCCAACCCGGGAGCGGGGAGTGGGCAGCGGAGAGCGGGCAGCGGGCAGCTGCCGGGGGCAGGGGCCGGGAGCCCGGGGACCGGGCGGCGCGCTCACCTCGGGTCCTCCAGCCCGTCGTTGAACTGGCCGCTCTGTCTGAATCCGCAAGCTGCTGCCCCTCCTCGGGCTGCGGCGGCTCCCGCACTGGGGGGCTCAGCGGGCCGGGGGCAGCGACCAAGAGCGCGTGGCCACGGGTCCGTGGCGGGGCGACGGGGCCCGGGGAGCTGCGGCGCACGCTGCCCGCTGCCGTCTCAATAGCGCGGAGATGCGGATCCCAGCGGCGACGAGGAGAGCGGCGTCATTCTAGTCAGAAGTGCGGGGCT